TGGTGTTAGCCACTGTGTGTGCGCTGAACCGCGGAGATCTCTAGGTCCCCGGTTCAGTTCCCATCGCTGCCTCTGCTTGTGTTTCAGCTAGAGGGTTGAAATACAAGTTACAATAGCGCACCATCTTTCGGATGAGACGTTTAAGCCGTTGGTCCCGTATGCATTTATGGCCCATGTGCACGATAAAGAACTATTGAAAACTCTCAAGCTAATACACAAGGAGAGCAGCAGATAAACCGAGGATCAAATCGGATCGTCACGGTGTCGTGGCTATCACCGGTTTAAACAACTGGAGCAGTTGTTCTCAGAAATGGGGAATATATTGAATGTGCTTCATTAAAGCCTTGTTGTCCAGACCATCAAATTTTATTTAACAGAAACATGTGACATGCCTAAATACGGTCATGATGGCATCACAGCATGACCATAAAAGGCACATCATAACTATATATGGGCATATCACAGTTAGACCAGACAATCTGATAATCTGGACAAGGCCTAACTCAATAGATTATCTTGAATTATCATCTTGTATAATCAGGAAACATGTGAATTATGTGAATTAACATTATACCACTATCATGGTCACCTGATAAATGATAAGGTATGATGAGGGAAATCCTGGATAATTCTGAAGGTTTGACAGATATATAAATTGATAAAACTCTCTCTCTGGAAACATCGATAACTTTCTTCAATCAGAAAGCTTTAGTTATTGCAGTGTATCATACACGTTGTAACTTGTAAGTATGAGCAACCGACAGCTATTGGTAAGTGAAACATTAACGTAACGTTTGCTGTATTTATTTCAATAGTCAGAAGTTTAGGTTAGAAAAGTTTTAGATGCTGAAATATTAAAGTATATTTATTATGCACGTTATACAATTCAATTTAACAGTAAATCTTTTACGATGTTTATATACTTATTAAAAATTCAGGCAGGATAACATATTCTTGAGTCAACAAAAACAAACTTAAAACAAATGAAAGCACTTATTCGCGTCTTAAGATACGTCTCATAAGTAGTAAAAATCGTTTTCATAACTTAGAGACCGAAAATTTTAACAATTTAGGGGTTTCAAGGGCTTATTTAATCGATTTTGCAGTCTACTAATATGTAGAAAATACATATAATTTTTTTCTCCCCGACGAATTGTGCTTTTTCTCCCCAACGGTGGGGAGCAGCTCTACCCGTTTCTACCCCTAAGTCCTGGATCCGCCTCTAAACAAAAAAAAAACTTCACCCTGTCTTTAAGGTGAAAGATGTTATGATACCTTAATTACGATAATTCTATATCGGCCTTTAAGAAATTCTTTTAGATTAGATTCTTCGGCCTTTAAGAATTATAATGTCGTATATTTTGTATTCCAGATTTGTGCCAGCCTGGCTTTGTTCCAGATTGTACTGGGTTACGAGCCAGTTTCAAGTGCAAACAGAGCGCCACCCGTAGGTGAGGCTTCACTGGTTCCCATCTGCTATTTCAAGAGCACTTCAAGTGCGTCAGAGAGTCAGCAAAGTGCCATCATTAGTACATATGGCCAACCAGGGGAAGATCTTGGGGTAGACGAGGACCCTGCTGTAGTTGATAAAAGGTAGAAAATAATAACATTATATATAGGCCTATAGCATTAATGTAACCATCTCAAAATAAAATATTGATTGTAGCAGCACTTTCGACCAGAGGTCATCAT